AACCAGAGGGCATTTAGCATTTGTGACAACATTTTAAAAAGGACAATCAGATCTGAGTCCTTCACAACACAGATGATAGGGGAAAGGTTTCATATATAAAAATGACAGTTGTTGGGAGAAGACTAATGAGTTATGTTACACTTTACTGCATTGGTTGAATGTCTATACTCCCTAATTGCTGGGTTGCCAACTTCCTGTTTCTTTGCTTTTCCACACTCTGTATCTTCCTAACATCACCCTAATCTGCAGTCATCTTTTTTCTCTTCTCTCTCTTTATTCATTATTAGATCATGTATTTGATTACCCTGTTTTCCCGAAAATAAGACATACCCATAAAATAAGCTATAGCAGGATTTCCAAGCATTTGCGCAATATAAGCCATATGAAAATAAGACATAGTGATAGGCAGACCTGTAGCCAGGATTTCGATTCGGGGGGGTGGGGGCTGAGTTTTTTTCAGGGGGGGTTGGGGGGGGCTGAGTTTTTTTCAGGGGGGGTTGGGGGGGCTGAGTTTTTGGGGGGGGCTGAGTCTGAGTGAAAGAGGGTCTACCCTAGCAAAGCTTTTGTATCATTACCCCAATACTCCCATCCATATGGGATATATTGAGTATGGTGATCAGATCATGATATGAATAAACATAACAGTTTAAATAATGCACCAGTAAGGCCTTTTCGCGAACCACCATGAGAATTTCTGGGGGGGGGGGGGCTGAAGCCCCTCAAGCCCCCCCCCCTCCCCCGGCTACATGTCTGGTGATAGGCATGGCTATGCAGTGTACACGGTTGGCACCTCTGTCAGGTCCCGGTCATTCTGTGCATGCTGCAAGTTGAGGCATAGAGGAAGACATAGAAAGCTAAAGTAAAAGTCTCCTCAATGAAGTGAGGAGCAGGCTGCTCTGCTTTAGGTATTGTGTGTGCTCAGGGGGAAGAAGGAAAGCTGTGGTTCTCTCTCCCCCAGCACCACTCTGTGGGTCTCTCTTATCCCACCCCCACAAAGACCAGTAAAGCTGCTGCTTCCCAGCACTGACCAGCAACCATCTGTGGGTCTCTTTCACCCCACACAAACACCAGGAGATGGGGAAAGGCTTCAGCCAGCAGTCTACTACTGAACCCAGAGAGATCATCCCAAAATAAGACATACCCTGAAAATAAGACATAGTGTGTCTTCTGGAGGAAAAATAAATATAAGACAATGTCTTATTTTTGGGGAAACACAGTGGATCATATATTCAACTATGCATAATTTAGACATTTACAAAAGAAGACTAAGTGTATTTTTTCTCTGCTAATCTTGTGGGTGGGGGAGCAGATTTAGAATGGGTTATGGTTCAGCTTCTGCCTTGCCAGTTTGATTACTCTGCTTGAGTGATCCACTTGTATCTCTCACATTTCCCAACACTATAAGTTTAAAATTTGCGTTCATAGTGTTCAGGGGGGTGCCAAATATGTTTTCAAGCACACATTAAAAATTCAAAAAGAACCACAGATTGATGGAATTAAATCAGATAGAGAGTGGTTTTCAACATTTCCCTCTCTTCTGTCATCTGTGTAAGGATAATTCTTTTGAATCTAAAATTCACAATTGACACAAATTGTTGCAGCAGAGAAGGAAAGGGTTAAACTCTGCCTCATCTTCTGCTATGATCGCAGTCATAATCATATATATCATTTTCTCAATTACTGCTGCTCTTTGCCTTTTTAAAAAATATGATCATTTAGCACAAATTAAACATCATTAAACATCATGTTTAATTAATTAAACATCATGTTTAATTTGAATTTATTTTTTAAGAACACCAATCAACTTTAAATGTTTTATGACCAACTGCTTTCAAAGAAAGATCTTCAATTATACATTTCGTTTCCCTGTTTTATTCAAGTGAGTGTTCACATTAGCTGAAGCTGATCTAATTCAAGGGTGCTGGCTAGGTAGATCTCTGGGTGATATGTAATAGGTCAGAGAGGATTTCCATATCTCAGTATTTCAATAAGAGCAGCAACACAAAGGACTTCTGACCTACCATTGGCTGCTCAGTGTCAAGGTGTACAGCGTGTGTGTAAAAACAGAAGAGTACTTGAATGTGAAAATATGTGTGTCAGTGCTCCAAAAGTTTATCAAATCTTTTAACAATAGTGACAATTAAAAGTCTGTTTTGATTCCCCCTCCTCCCCCTCCAGTGTAGCCCTATATGTATCCATTCAGAAGTAATTGCAATGTATTCAATTGAGTTTATTCTGATATATGGATTTCTAGGATTACAGTGTCAATTAGGTTAGTGAAAGAGAAAGTTTTCAGGTGAAAGGAAACCAGGGGTGGACTTCTGAGTGATGAAACTGTGAGCTGCTTTTTGATGCTGAAAACAAATTCCTGTGTCGAGGATTTGCTCAAAGGTATATCCTTCAATTCATCTGTACATACATCTCCACATAGGTACCTGGGCAATCTTTATACTGCGATTCGTTTGGTGGATCTCGATAGAAATAACAAAGTTTTTGGCAAAGCTCAAGTTCCCTCCCACTTTATCCTCGTAGCCTATGGATTTCTCATTGTGCATAGCCTACCTCAGTACTTGGCCTCCTTTAACTGGAAACATGATAACTGTGGGGATGTATAGGTTAATCTGTATTCACATGTATGAATGGATGATCCTGGTTTAATAACTCCCCCACAAGCCCCCATCGCATGGGGTATACTTATGGCCTTTCAGCTACAACAAATAACACAAACGTCACACTACAAAGATTTAGAAGACTCACATTCAGTTCTTTTTCTGATGGAGTAAGAAAACTCACTAAGATCTGGAAACTGCCAATTCTTGAATCAATAAAACCTAGCTGAAAATGGCCAGCTTTTACACAAGGTTTCAAGATATGTTCTGTTACTAGCAAAAGAATGCATTAAATGCACGCCAGAGCCATTTACAGCATTTCTGAATATGGAAAAATCCTTCATCCTTTGAAGGATCATATTAAAACAACTGTTGGAAGGACTGTTAAATAAAAACAGCTAAAATCCCGTGACTCTAGAATGGAAATCCCCTTGGCATCATGTACCATGGGCGGGATGAGGAAAACACTCAGCCATCTGGAATCCAGGCCTGAAATATACAACTTGATCCACAATATTCCTATATGGAGCTCACAGAAAACTGTCCCAGAGGACTGATGCCGCGAACAGCATGAAACGATTTGTGAGTCAACAGAACAAATGGAAGAGTGCCATCTAAAATGGCAAGTGTTGTAGTTTGCATCACTCCACCATCCATTCTTGCACCTGTTGCTTAAGGCCTAGACCGTTTACAAACTCACAGGTGGTATACTCAGTCCAATGTCTGACTAATTACACGGAGAACTGTTGTGTTAGGAAGGCGTGAGCAGAAGTCAAAAACTGTTCCTTTATAGAATTTGGAATATTTTACTATTTTGTCTTAGTAGCAATTCCTAGTACTGGCAAGCAGCTTGAGGCTGCCAGTTCTTCCCTGACATTGAGATTGAGCAGAGGTTGTCAGATTCCATTTGCTGAAAGATTGTATCCATTAGTGTATCCCACTGGAGACTGCCAATCATTTTGTCTCAAGGAAATTTATCTTGAGTAAACAGTAAACAGATGTTCGATGCTTCCATGATTTGGATTGATCTTCTCCTGGCTGGAAAGCGACAAACCTAGAGGAATGGTTCACAGAGCTGCAGCAGGTGATCTATATCAATAGCTGGCAATTTTGCTCCAACAGCCATTGAAGAAACAGGAATTGAATCAATCACACCCAATTATTCACTTCCAAGAGGTGAATGAGAAAGGCTATAGTTCAGTGACAGCACTGAAACTCTCAAGATCAGTTCCTGACGTCTCCCAATTGGCTGAGAAGGACTCTTGCCTCAAATTGTGGACATCTACTGCCAGATCAGAGATAGGGAAAGTGGGGAACTCCAAATGTTGTTGTACTGGAAATCTTGCCAGCCTTTGATGGTTTAACCAATGTTGAGGGACGATAATTGCAATCAAACAGCATCTGGAGGACCATCCTTTTCCAATCTCTACAGCAGACTGAGGTGAAGCTACACTGTAGAATGAATGCAGTTTGACACCACTTTAGCTGCCATGCCTCAATGTGATAGAAATGTATTTTACAAGGCATTTAGTCTTTTCTGCCAATGGGTGTTGGTGCCTCACCAAGCTACAGATTTTAGAATTTCATAACATTGATTGATGGAAGCTGAACTAGTGTTGAATACAACCAATCCTACAATGTAAATGCACCCCAGGATAAGCCATATGCATCCAGTGAAGGCAGCTTCCTATCTTTCTCATAAACCTCATTGTGTAAGTAGCCACTCCCATCGAAATGAGGAGGCACATTCATCAGAGTCAGACATGTAACGTATTCATGTGTATGATCATGTATGTCTGCTGGAAAGAGCAGACAGCAGATCTCATTTTCCCCCCATGTGAAGAAGAGCACTACCCCAAAAGTGAAGTTTATGTCAGAAAAAGATGGTGGAATGCAGGGGAATGGGAGTATAACATTCACACACAATAGTGTTGGGTCTGGGGCAAATGTGTTTTGCCGCTATGAACACAAATCTGGAATTGCTGCAGACTCCAATACAATGAGATATTGATGTTTCATAATCTCTGGCCAAGGAGATGTTTCAAAATCCGGTGCCTGGATACTTTGGGTCCACAGAAAAAGTTCAATTGGGAATGGCTGTTGATATGCCCCAGCAGTGTTTCAAAATTACTTCTCTAAAAGGATTTAGAAACCAGCAGATACAGATAATGTAAGAACTAGAGACTCATTACTGAAGAGGTGGACAACTGGGCATGTTTTGCGTAAGAATACCTATACTTTCTCCTCTTTTGACTATGCTGGCTAAGGCTAAAGGGAGATGTAGGCCAAAACCATCCGAAGGACCACAGTTACCAGTCCCTACACCACAGGCTGATGAACTGAGAGTATTACCGAAACAGGGAAAACATTTTCATACACGTAACAGTGAAATGCTTTTAGGCACTTTTTTATTGTCAAAAATTGTCATTTTATATATAAACCATTTCAATCTCTTTCAACAACAATACAGCTGTTTGCTCAGTCATTTGCATAGGATATATCACCATACAAAAATATGGACAAGGAGAGAAAAAGAGGGGGTTGGGGATAAAGCAGCAAAACAGCAACCAATATATGCTTCTTGAGTTTTCTTTTCCAGGATTAAACATTTGAAGCCTTACCAAAAAAAATGTACATCTTTTTTCCATAATCTATTTACAATTCAGAGCAACGCTAAAAAAGGCTATAACAAACAACATTAATTTATCAAGTTTATGGAAAACTGTGTTCTAAAAATTTCTACCATATACCACAAAAATAAATAAACGAGGCAAAAGATAGTCTGAACAAAGTTTTGCTTTGCGTTTTACTTTTTTTCTTTCTTTTTTGGCATGTCACTTTAATTTCTACCCTTTGGTTAACAGCATGATAGTACAGCTCAGAAGTGTACACTGACAAACCCTGTCAGCACATGAAAGGGCTTCTAAGCACAGAAGAGGGCTTCTTGCCTTGTTCCAGGAGCACCTCTGTGTACAGCATTAGAAACCACCACCTCCTTCCATCCTCCAAGATACAAGACTGTTTTTGGCCATCACTCTTTTCCAGCTCCACCCTAATCCCAGACTATATGTAGTATGAGATCACTGATGGAAGCATTAGATCGATGGTTTTCAAGTTTTGGTCCTCCATGTGTTTTGGACTACAGCTCCCACAACTCCTAACAGCTGGGAAAATGGCTGGGAATTCTGGGAGTTGAAGTCCAAAACACCTGGAGAACCAAAGGTTGGGAATCACTGCATTAGTTCCTACCATTAAGTACATTCTGGAGCGGTTGAAGCTTTAATCCTCCACATAAACCACTTGAGCATATGACCCATTAACAACAGTGGGGACTTGCTGCTGACTCAGAGATGAAGTGCCACTGAGCTTCCAAACATTTTGCAGCTCCTGGATGTGCCAGCTAGTCTAGCCAATGGTAAAAGATCGTGGGAGTCCTCAGCTTTCAAGAGGAATCATACCACAAGGAATAAATGAATGAAGGATTTTTAACAAGACTTATGTACCAATTTCTAAAGAGGCTTTGCTTTCTCATAGGTTGACTCTCAGCATTACAAAGATTGTCTGCATGGATTGTTTAGTTGTGTGGCAGAATCATCTGACTGTATTATGCAACTGGAACCTCTTGTTTACTTAGGAGTGAAATGCTATGAGCCAGGTTCCTGATTCACCATGAAGGGTAAGATCTGAGTTTTCTCATTATTTTCTGGAGATCCCTACAGAGAAACCAGAGGCTTATCAATGAGAAAACCAGAAATGACAATTAAGCTTCAAGGAAGGAGGCTTTGGTTAACATTACTGATCTTTCCCTATAAAATGCAGGTGTACTGGCTGAAACTTACATGGGCAGTACAACAGCCCATGTAAGTCTTGGCCAACAGCCTCACTCCTAAAAAATAATCCAGAGTCCTTGCTAGAACCCTGCAAGGTACAGCACAGAAGATGGGGCCCTCCAGGTGATTTGCACTCTAACTCCAACAATATCTTGCAATTAGCTATACTGTGTGGAGTTAATGAGGGCTGCAGTCCAAAAGCACCAAGGTTCCCTATTCCTAGTTCAAATGTTTGGTGAGATTACAAGAAAGGAGGGTTTCCTCAGTGGAAATGTCAGTGTTGAAAAGCCATGTAGAATGCAGGGCATTTGGAGACAGAGCTTGATTTCTTTGATTTGATTTTATGTTTCTGAAAGGTCACAATTACTTTGACCCACCCTTTCAAGCATATGCAATACTCGTAGTCAAAAAGCCGAGTTCTGCCATACACATGCCCCATAACTGAAACTAGCAGTGCTCACATATGAACATTCTGGTGTTTGCACATGACACATCTCCAACCAAGTGCCAAATGGAGAGCTACTGAAGTAAATAACAATGCTTCAGTGTGTTTTGGCCGTATGTTTTCAAGGAATACGATTCAACAAAGTTATATAAGAAAATGCTCTTTTGGACTATTGGTTCTCTAAAAGTGTTCAGTCCGTATGCACTGGATAAACACAACTATCTTTAGAGAATTGAGCATATACATGACCTTAAAAAGGGAAAATACAAATAACAAAAGCACAACTGATAGTGTCTTATGAGATATGGCATGAGACCTTCATGCCATATATATATATATATAAGCAGTTTGATTTTGCTCTACATGCAAAAGAAAGAGGTGGAAGAACAAGAATTCATATGATATTAATAATTATCTAGGCTATAATCCAGTGTCCTTTTTTGTTTTTGTTGTCTTTGATGCCAAAGAGTGAAAAATCACTGTGAGATCACAAGACTCAGAAATACTGAAGTCTGTCTGTTTCAAACTTGCAACACGTCTTTCTGCTCTTATGAGCTGGGATACTAATCCTAAACACTAGGGAGTAGGTCTCCTTGAATTGACTGGGATTTACTTCTTGTTTTTGTTTTTTTTTTACTCCCAGGAGTCCTTGTTCTGAAACTGCCTCATTCTGCTGTTATGTCAGCTTTTCTGTATTTCTGCCTCTGAAATCTGCTGTAACCTATGAAATTCTATGCTAAAAAGATACTTTTTCATTTACACTTTAAATAAACAAAATTCTGAGGGATCCATTTTGAAACATGAGAATGGGACATCGTATTACCCTCAAAAGCAAACTGTCAAAACACACCGAGCACTTTTTATTTTAATAAATTATGATGTTGGCACTGCTTAGCATTTCATCACTTTATCCTGACTTTGACCATTTCAGAGCTGCCTTCATCTCCATCTTAATGTGTCCATACTGAGCTTAACAAGGAACCACAACCCTGGATTTCAACAGATCTTGGAAATCATGCCATCCTGTTAATTACCATAAATTTACAATCTTGCAACGATTTCCTATTCCTATTTATGTTTGTGGCACCATTGCTACCATTGCAAATGCTATTGAAACTCAACTTGAAATCCATCCATCCACAACATAAGATGCAGTTCTGCAGCGCTGGTGAATGGGGCACTGAAGGATGTCATCTCCTGCCCAGTCCCACCAGTGAGCCACAGTGCAAGGAGCAGGAGTATGGGCACTGTTGAAACTCCTTGGTGAACTATACTTTGCTGGCAGGAGGAAGCTGGACACATTCTCCTTAAGCACTCTGTCTGCCAGTGAAGCAGGCCTCCATCACTCAGTGTGGATGACTGGATTTTTAAGGTGGGTTTCCAGAGTCAGCCTAGGAGACAGACTGTAGCCACAACATGAGAGTTATACATTCGCTGCAAAATTTGCCTATATTTTGGATAAAACAACCAGAATCTTACAGCCAACCCAGCCGATGGCTATGGCATTACAGTCCAAGGATATATTTTCCCCCAAGATTTGAATTTATTTGCCCTTACATGATTCAATATAAACATGGGGAGACACATTCAAAACTGTAGTGTTTTCCTACCAGTTTCAGGAGAAGTACATGGAGGAACAAGTATAGAGGTGTCTCGGGATCAGCAAGGATGTTAAGTAGGTGCTTAAACCTACTAGCTGGACTCCTGGCCCAGTTGGAACTGAGACAATTTGAGCTACACTCCACCAACAGGGAATCTTCCCTCTTGGTATTACAACTCGTATGCACAGCATTTTTTTAAAAAAAAAGACATTCATTTTCAAAGTTCATGTTTAAAATTATAATATTCTTTACCTTTTATAAAGCTAAACAGTTTCCCAGATCCAACTATACACATTACATAGATAAATACAGAGACGGATTTAGCACAATGTACCACTGGATTGGGCAGGGAATTGGACACACAAACAGAGCTGTGTGTTTCTCTTTAATCTGATCTGGCAGCCAGGGCAGCACATACACATCAAATAGGCTGCATTTCACACTAGTAGGTCTTTCCACCTCCACTCCCTAAACAGTAGGCCTATGTAGCTGCAGTTTCGTTGAGAGGTCTACATCTACACAGCCCTGGCTGTAACAGAGCTGAAGTGGGGGGAGGAGGAGGCGGGAAATCTGCATGGAATTAGATTGTGCTAGTGCTGAACCAGCTTAGTGTTTTTGCTATTCTAAAACCACATTCTAAATCCTTCTTTTTAAAGCAATATTAAGTTTAGCTTATAGTAAGAGGTTTAGCGTTATGTATCATAGCCAACCTTGTTATTTTAGCTTCTGACAGTTACTTAACAGTTCCTATTTTTTTTCAAATGTTTTGTCCTTTTAAACATTTAGGGGGAAACCCCCCCCCCCCGATCCTGTTTTGAATATGTCAGTGCATCACATCTGTATGGAGAAAGTGTTTGAATGTCTATCTGGTTATCAAACTAAGGTGGTACCATTTTCAGAGGTATTTTAAAATGGCTGGATTTTAGATGTGCCATATTAAACTGTCCAAAGTAAGATGCCAGCTACTTTTCCCAGCTGATTTCTAGAAAAAAAACTGTAATAAAACATTAAAAGCCGATCTGCCTATTTACAAAATCTTTGTCAAAGCAAACATGCAACATACAGAACGTTTTGTTCTATGGCTATTTATGAATTTGTCTATATATATATTTCATCTCCACAAAAAAATAAAACACATGTATTGAAACATCCAGTAAAATTCTTGTAAAAAATAAAAGTGTGGCTTGTCCTCTAGATTAGCTTGTAAAATCAAATTAAACTGTATCTTCTTCAACACAGCTCACTACTGTAAGAGTGTTTTAGTCAGTACATTAAAAATACATACCGGAGCTTGAGATATAATACTTAAATTGAAGGACATGCTTCCTGTATTGTATTTTGCAAACATATCTATGTGGGCTTGTATACTAATTAACTGCTATTTCTTCCCCCAAAGTTTTCTGGGGATTTTGGTTCGGTCAGGCCTCCATCACAAAAAGTGCTCAGAGTTCCTTGGGATCAAGGAATTAACATTCAGGTAACATAACATATCTTTGGAGGTGCGTCCAAAGATACTTGTGAATCCACACATAAGAAGACTTTTCAGAACCACTGAGGGCTCGGTTAACTGCATTCACACTTCATGCTATGCAAGAGGTGGGTAACCTGAGCCTTCTGAATATCACTGCAGCCAGCATAATGATGAGGAATGCTTGGCAATGCAGTTGAGAAAAATCTGGAGCAACAGAAGCTGCCCACCACGATTTAAGCCATGAAATTTGCCTTCATAGTCAAAAAGTGAATGAGTGGTTGGCATCTGCTTCTGCATCATACTTTGTAGTAGTGGGTACACCAATCAGCGAAGAGATATTTGTATGACACCCAACTAGGTGTTATAATTTATTATGCCTATGTAAACCAAGATTAGTGAAACAAAAATAGATAATAGTAAAAAAAATACCAAAAACTAGATATGATCCTGTCTGGACACAATACAGATTGGTTGGCTTACTCACATACAAGGAAGGACAAAGCAAGAGAGAAATAATGTCCACTAATAGTTCACCTTCTTATTAAGGCATAATTCTTGGGTAAAAATACAGTGTAAACACAACCACTAATGCAAAATATCAGGTCTCAGACACATGTGTGAAGGTCCCAAGTCTGGCAAACAGCTTCAAGGGCCTGCATAGAAGTTGGAAGCATGAACTATTCTGAAAATACATTTTTTGCAGATGAAAACATGTGGCAATGGTAAATCCATATCTGCAAAAGTATATAACAGAGAATCCTGAGATGGGGGACTAAAATCAAATACATGAAAAATAAGTCACATGGCTGTAGTTGGTGAAACAATCCGAAGTATTGCAACACAGTGTCTTTCCTATTTCCTCATAAATATACAAAATATACAATTCCAGTTTCTTTTATTATTTTTTCCTGTTTTAAAATAGCGGAGCGTTCATACACAGTCAAACATTTAGCTAATTCTAATTGAATGTATATACTTGAGTCACCAGGAAGTTGCATAGATACCAACAGCCTCATGGACTAGTCTAGCCTAGTTTTGATGTCTCTTCATGTGCAGAGCCAAGTGGTCAGACCGAGAGAAGCTGCGACTGCACACGGGACACTGGAAAGGTTTGGCCCCCGTGTGCTTCCTGTAGTGGCGAGTCAATTCATCAGAACGGGCAAATCTCCAGTCACATCCTTCCCATGTGCATTTGTATGGCTTTTCTCCTGGAAACATGAAAAAAGCACAAATATAGTCAGTCAGTCTTCATTCAAATGCCAGAAACAGGACTGCAATCAAGTTACCAAGGTTATTTTTTTCAAAAACGCTCTCCATCCCCTAGCAAGCTACCACATCAGAACTTTAGCCTTTTATGAATCAAAACTTAACTGGGAGCAGACAGCATTGGAAACATGACACCCCACTTGCAGGCTAATGTGAGGCAGATCAGAGGTCCACCACCATCTCATTTTCCATGGCTAGAATGGCTTGTAGAACGTTCTTTTGGTGGAGTGGAGGGGGTGGGCACCACCCCACTTCTTTGCGCTCCAGGAGCATGAAGAACTGGGATGACTGTGGGCATTTCCCCCAGGACTGAAGAAGCTTTTATTTGTAAATTCGGAACAGAAGATAATACCATGTGAAGAAAAATGAGGAGACTATGTAATTTATGTTTACAGATATCCTTCTGTGGTCATGGTAGAAGGAGCTATTCACTATCTCATCTTGCACAGAGAACTCATTTTCCTCCCTCTCTGGACCACTAACAATCATATGGTTATATTCCTATAGCCAGATGACCAATGAGAATGTCATCTGGAAGGACCACCTTAAGGAAGTCTTCATCTTTGTGCATTGAGAGATAGGAACATAACTAGGTGTTTTCACATTCTCTTTAGGACACTTACTTCTGAGAGGAAAGGTAAATTATCTCATATTCTCACACACAAGAAGTGAGAAATCTCCAGGAGCTAATGAACTTCCTTGAACTATTGAAACATCACAGTTCATTTAGGCAGAGTAATTTAACAGGCCTGCTTCACACTCCAACTTTAATTCATAGTGATATAGAGAGTTGATCATAGTAAAGTGGAGAGCTGATCTGAGAAATTGGTTGAAATCTTGTTTTATGGACTATTCAGTTCCCCTACAAACTAAAGTTTCAGTTGTGTCATCTGCTCTACAAATATACCAACACATTTTTACATGGCTGTCTAAATGTCAATCACAAAGACCAATTCTGAAAGGTAAACTGCTAAGAAATAGCCACCATCCAAATCTCTCCACCGTTTGCTTGAACAGTACAAATATTGCTCCAACAGAATTGCATTTTGGCAGAAAGCAGGAGCAAAGCAATAAGAAGTAGCGCGATTTATACTTTAAAAACACACACAAGTCAGTACAGAACCAGATGTGTCAGAACAGAAGAAGTAAACATAAAAAACCACAATCCAGATGATAGCTATTCTAACCAAATTTCACTGAAACCAGTGACACAAGTCAAATTCTAACTAGCTTTAAGCTCCTTTGAAAGTACAGCATTTGGACTTAAATTAGATGTAAATTAGATCTTTCGTGGGCTTCACAGTGATTTAGTTACAAAGAACATTTACCTGAATTGTGGCCTTTATGCTTATGTCCTCCATCCTGGCATCTGTACCTTTGCTGAGCATATTCTAGACTTTAGCACAGTTAGGCAACTGATGTTATAAGTCCAGAGTTAACTCCACCAGGACTGCATGGAAAACCAAAAATAATCTGCAATAGGTGGGGGATAAATAAATATAAAATAACCCCTAACTGAATTTGCTTCTGGTTTGGGGGTAAAGTGCCTGCTTCTGGGTTTTTTTAACATTCAGTATTAGACGTGGGACCAATTCCCTCTTTCCTATTCCCAAAAAGGACAGCTAAGATGGCCCGGAGGGAGTGAGGGATGCAAAAACAGACTTGGTGGAGCCATATGTAATCCCAGGGCCACATATTGCCCTGTCCTCATCAGAGAAAAAATGCTACCATGAAAAGTTAAGTGATGTAACAACATTTATGGGATCAAAAGCTAAAAGTGAAAACACAGAATTGTATAGACATTAAAAAACACTACACAAAGGCCTTTGTACATTTTATGGCTTTTAAAGTTCTAGCTACTTGTTTGGATATGCTGGAAGTTGAAAATCAGGTTCTCTGAAAGACAATTGATGATGCACTAATAGTTTAAAGTGTACTTACAGTCTGACTGATGTAACCAGATATTTTTATAAGCAAAAATCAGGCCCAAAATGTCTGAGATTGGCAGCCTAGCATTAGCAGCATAATGAGGCCGCTATTCTGAGGTGACAAGTACCTGAAATTCCCAGTGACTTCAACTGGAACGTACGATACTTAACACCTCTGAAATTTTGACCACAGATTTATGTAAGTGCCCAATATAGATTTAATTGCAGAGCTTTACACAGTCAGTTTGGAACATGTTGTCACAGATAGCTAAATATATGGTCATTTAATTTAGTATCCTAAGTGGGGTATTTTAAGCATACCTATAAAATTCATAACTATGTTGATGAGAAGAGTATTCATAGAAAGCTAGGCTAGGGAAAAATTTCCTGAGAAGTACGAATGAGTCTATTCATTGAGAATTGAGAAACTATTATTACTGTTGCTAAACACCATATAAAGATACATTGAAAGGACAACACCTATAGCTTCCCCTTCAATAATAAAGACACAGCTCTACACATACACTGCCTTGAAATGTTGATCTATCACAATCCTCAGAATTGTTTTGGCTATGAGACTATCATCAGAGACACAGTGCAAACAGTATTTTCATATGCTTCCTCATTTAATTCAGTTTCAATGTTGCTTTTACTCTGCATTTAATTTTGCAAGTCATATTCGGTCCATGTTTTAAGAAAAGGCAGGATACAAATAAGGACAACAACAACAACAACAACAACAACAACAACAACATAGTGTGATGAATCCCCTTCTAGGCTGCACTATTGCAGTTTTCAGGTGGGAGGCTCTCACAATTATATATACATCTAGACACACGATTTCCTCTCAAAGAAAATATGCAAGTTAAAGAGGAAATAAAAAAGCTAGGCTAAGTTTTCTAGCCAAGGGAAATATTTTGACTGAATTAATATTCAGCCCTACTTGGACTCTGTATCCCAGAAACAGGTTCATCTCCTCTTCTGCTGTTTGAGTGAATGCCATTTCACATTAGTTAAGATAAAAGCCATAGTGCACACCCATAGCACAATTTACCTATCCAGGTCCATGTGTCAGACACACTGGTTTACTTTCACTGAAGATCCACCCCTTGTTTTTCCTCAATGACTACACATGCCACTTTCTCTGTCCCTTCAGCTTAGCATGCAAGCATGCCAGGCGAAATCTCCAGCATTGTCATCTTAGACTGGGAAAGACAAGACTCCTTGAAATCCCAGAAAGCAATAGAGCTGATTCAGTATAGGACAAATTCTGATATTTCTAGTTGCAATCTACATAGAACAAACTCAGCACAAAACATGCCATACGTGTTCGTCTGCAGAGTAAAAGAGATGAAACAGAGCTCCTATAGAGCTTACAATCTTAATTTCAACAGGTGAAAGGAAGAAAATCTATATAAATAAAAATGTAATGTTCATTTGTGGAATTAACATAACTCAAAAACCACTGGACGAATTGACACCAAATCTGGACACTACAGCCCTAACAGACCAATGAGTGACCATCACTCATAAACCCCTCTCAAAGAATAGTAGAAAGGACTAAAAAACCCAAAAAAGCTAAATGACAATGCAGCGCCTGTGCGAAAACGACAGTTTCCAGCATCCCCTAGACCAGGCCCTTTAGGGGAGGAGGATGCACCAAATGCACTGCTTCCAAGCTGCAAGCTTGCTTCTCCTTGGATTTCTTTCAAAGCATTCGAATCTGTACATATTTCCTATTTCCTATTCCTGGACTGCAACTCCCAGCAATCCCCCAGGTAGATATAGATTAGATAGAGATAGGTAGGAAGGTAGGTAAATTGATCAGGAGGACTGCTGGGAGATACAGTCCAAGAATAGGTAGAGAAGGAAGAGAGAAAGAAAAAGGGAGGGGAAGGAAGGAAGGAAGGAAGGAAGGAAGGAGAGAAAGAAAGAAGGAGAGAAAGAGGGAGGGAAGGTGGGCCATAGCAACGTGTGGTGGGTACAGCTAGTAAAAGAGAGTAAAAGTGGAGGAGAATAGGTGCTTTTGTTGTTGTTGTTCATTCGTTCAGTCGTCTCCGACTCTTCGTGACCTCATGAACCAGCCTACGCCAGAGCTCCCTGTCGGCCGTTACCACCCCCAGCTCCCTCAAGGTCAGTCCAGTCACTTCAAGGATGCCATCCATCCATCTTGCCCTTGGTCGGCCCCTCTTCCTTTTGCATTCCACTTTCCCCAGCATAATTGTCTTCTCTAGGCTTTGCGGTCTCCTCATGATGTGGCCAAAGTACTTCAATTTTGTCTCTAGTATCCTTCCCTCCAGTGAGCAGCCGGGCTTTATTTCCTGGAGGATGGACTGGTTGGATATTCTCGCAGTCCAAGGCACTCTCAGCACTTTCCTCCAACACCACAGCTCAAAAGCATCGATCTTCCTTCGCTCAGCCTTCCCTAAGGTCCAGCTCTCACATCCGTAGGTTACTACAGGGAATACCATGGCTTTGACAAGGCGGATCTTTGTTGCCAGTCTGATGTCTCTACTCTTCACTATTTTATCGAGACTGGACATTGCTCTCCTCCCAAGAAGTAAGCGTCTTCTGATTTCCTGGCTACAGTCTGCATCTGCAGTAATCTTTGCACCTAGAAATACAAAGTCTGTCACGGCCTCCACGGTTTCTCCCTCTATTTCCAGTTGTCAATCATTCTTGTTGCCATAATCTTGGTTTTTTGACGTTTAGCTGCAACCCGGCTTTTGCGCTTTCTTCTTTCACCTTGATTAGAAGGCTCCTCAGCTCCTCCTCGCTTTCGGCCATCAGAGTGGTGTCATCTGAATATCTGAGGTTGTTAATGTTTCTTCCAGCAATCTTCACCCCAGCTTTGCATTCATCCAGCCCCGCACATCGCATGATGTGTTTTGCATACAAATTGAATAGGTTGGGTGAGAGTATGCATCCCTGCCGTATGCCTTTCCCAATCTTGAACCAGTCTGTTGTTCCATGGTCAGTTATTGCTGTTGCTACTTGGTCCTTATACAGAAGAG